CTGATATACAATTTAAAATCCAAAAGGTGAACTATGCAATGAAGCCGCTAATGTTCAAAGAGCGCCCATGGGCAAGAGCAGATGACTAAAACACCGTTTTGCGCGTTTGTGCTCGATTTTATTTTGCATACGTTAGAACTAAAGACGGAACCCATTGCATTTTTGTTTGGCTGGATCACTTTTCAAAATTCCTTATATTCAAACCAAGGCGAGAAACCAGTGCAGGAGCGTTAAGTAGTTTATTTACACAGGCATGTAACATATTAAACTGCCAAGCTAAACAGAAAAAGTCAGGTGGGCTTTATTAGAAATGATACGCTCATACATTAGTGAAAACCAAAAGACATGAGATATTCACTTTAGAATATCTCGACGAAGAAAAAATAGTTTTATCGGTATGTCTTCATAGTACGTTTAATTGGGTTTAAGCATACAGCATGATTTAGCATGGGTATTTCTGAAGAATAATGCTAAAGACTCTAACTTCAATGATGAGATTATGACAGAAAAGGCACGACTCTTAAAAGACGTAGCAGCTAAGCGACGGAAGCCTACAAAAGGAACCATCGGATTTAAAACATAGGCAGCAGACAAGTTGAACCTAAAGATGAATTGGGATTACATAGAAAGAACTTCACACCATGTAACATGGCAGAGTGTTATAATGATAAATTAACCGCTTCGAATATTAGTAGAAAACTGCTTCTACAAACGGAGTACCTTAGAAGGTAAAAGATGAGGTGACTATAATTCAACGGTAGTAACTACTAAGTTAGGAGTCTAAAATTTTCCCCTGTGTAAGATCGGTCCCCGTAGTTGCTTGTATATCAATTAAAGGATTTTTTAATATATCAAGCATTGTTGACCTTGTAACTGACGTTAATAGGATTAGACCTAAATGGATGTATTGCAAGGGGTGAACAAGGGGTAGGGTCCTGCCACGGAGCTAGCTATCATCGTCTCCTTGAGTCGGGATCATACCCAAGCTATCGGAGCAGTACACAATTACTTCGCTATACTTGGCGGGTTGTTTTATTTTCACCGACTTATTAATTCAGGACGCACTTCTGCAAAGCTTGAATAAAAACATTTTCCGCTTGTGCTTTTGAATCATCGTTAAATATTTCGTCACTAGGAAAGCTCGACTTAAGTGTATCATCAAACCTTCGACTTCCATTTTGTCTCAGACATTCGCCACAGAGGTTAGCGAAATGTATGGATAGGGAACGACATGCCAGAGTGATTAGCAACCATCAAGTCACAACTTCAGTTTCTTTTTCAAGTGGCAATTTCGGTAGCATCAGTTTTCGTACCGTTCAATGAAATCTCTATTTATTTTTATTTATCGCAATGTTTATTTTTTGCGATGGGCCATCAGTTCGGTTTCAGTTCCCTTTGATTGTACCATTTCACGCGGCGTTGCACCAGGCTTATCGTTACATTTGCTGTATCTTAGATGCTGAATTTGAATACAATAAAAACCAACTTTTTACTAATTTGAGACTCGTCTTTGTCGGTAGCTTGTTGCAAAATATTACTAGAGTTGGATGCTCCAAGCATACAAATGTTTCCAGATGTTTCGGTAATTGGCTCGGCACTTGGCTTTCACAGAACCGTTAAGATATTAACTTTGGCTCTTCTAAAACGATAAACTTTCATTAGCACATCATTTGAATGGCGATCACTAGCTTTAGGATTTGGAGATTCACTTTCCAACTTTCGTTGGTTCCAAAACTACTGTGTGCTGAATTGTTCCTTTGTTCTTAAGATGTTTTTCAACTTAGGTGTTAGGCCAGCGGATGTCATGATGTCTCTTTAGCTTTTTAAGCATCCGGCATATGCTATATTTGCAACATTATACGTATATGTTTTCGCATATTTTCCTTTGATTTTTACAGTAGAATTCGGTACAATTTAACCAGTTCCAGTTCTTTTTTTTCCCTTAGAGGACATCAGCCTGTTTAAATTAATTTTGATAAATTTTTTCTTAGGTTTATTTTTTTTTAATTTTGCTAATGTGGATACAACTTTTTTATTTTCTTTAGCCACTATTTGTACGGTCCGGTAAGACCAGGAAATTTTAGTTGTATAAAACAGCTTAACTTTTCGCATTGTTTCACTCCCCAATATGAGTACAAAAATATTCATCTTGTGACGGTTCATATTTCCGCATAAAATCCTAACCGAGTTGTCAGTACAGTGACTTCTCTTATGTGTCCTTTTTTATTACTATTCCTAACACACATAGTTACGTTATTTAATCTCTTGATATTTCATTTATATAATTCGGAATAGGTGAACTTAATTAGATGTGGAAATAGTTTGCTTAACTTAATTGCTTTGACAATATTTATTAGTTAAAGAATTGATTATATTTTTAAAGGAAACAAACGATAATATATTAAGTTAAGTTAGTTAATGGATCGGACGTTTTGGTGGTTAAAAAACGAATGATGCATGTGTTTGCATGTTAAAGGCAACTACCAACAGCATGTGTGTTTATGTATGTAAGCGAGAAAAAGAAAATTTATAACTACCTCAGTAATCTTCATCTAACTTAAAACTAGTTAACAGCCCTAACATTCACATTGTGTTGGTGTATTTTAATTCATAAATTTTTAAACATTACCCAACTGGATGTGTCCTATATGCGTTATGATTTTTTTTTTTTGTTTTGTTTTCAGTTCACATATCCGCGTCCTTTCTTACATTTTTGTTTCTCTTCTGACTAGAATGTGAAAGAGAGAATTACGATTTACTTAATAGCTTTTTCGCAAGCGGTCTTTGCTTCTGCAAAACGACAATTTTTCCACAGACACCATTTGCAGAGATTACATTTCCTCACGATGACCCATCTTTCATTTCTAACAGCTGTTAAACATCACTCGCAGTTAGACACAGCGTTGCAATTATTGCTACATACTATTATAATATCATTTCTGTGCTTTTATTTACTTCATTTTATTTTAGTTTATTCGACTTATGTATGCTTTAGGTATTCATAGTAATGCAAAACGTCGCATTAGTTTAAGCAAAGATTACACTTTAACGTAAATTTAGCTGTACCCTAATTTCACCAATAACCTAGTTTAAGTAAAACCAAATCAACCAATAGCTTAGTTTAAGGTAACTTCTCGTTCTGGATGAGGAAAAATATTAAACATATTCGATTTATTAAAAATAAAATTTCTGACATTCCATTTGAGACGATAGGAGTTATTGCAGATACGATAGGTTCAACGTTAGCTAATTTAGTTAAACTACGATTTATATATTAACTAAGTCGTCTATGCTGTCATTTAAATTGGAACAACATGTCAATATTTTCCTTTCTTGGAATCCGTATTGTATGCCTATTGACTTGTTCTTGAAACATTAAAAAAAATTGTAAATGTATGTCTTTAAATATATAATAAATTGTAAGACGTTCAAATTGAGAAAAAAAAAGGTCATCGCTGCAAGGTAACTTGGTAATGGATCTGCTTACAAACGTATATGCAATATCATCGTATATGCATCATCACTATTTTTTATTCTAAAAATATATCAACATATATGCAGATAAATATATATATATAAACAAATGTTAACAAAAGAGAGTAAAAATACAAAGAAATATAAAGCATAAATCAGAAACTTTTCAAACAGAGATCAATGAATAAGTATGTAAAAGGATAACACTGCCAATAGAAAAGGGCATGTAGTAATGGAAACAACAACTTCACAAACGCTGCTATTTAGTTAGACCCTTAGAAGTGTTAAAGCTTTTCCAAAAAATATATTTGCAAAATTGAACTGCAACATCTCACTTAATTGTCTCAAACAAACATGGGCTTAAAAGACATCACCTTCGCTCTACATTTTTTGTGAAGCTAGTTTTCTAACACTTTGTTCGTATAAAAAGTTGTATTGATGTGGAAATGCGTGAAATATCTCAAGATGCACTATGTGACACTTTTTTCTTATAAAAAAGTTAAAAACGCTGAAAAAAAATTATAAAGCGTAAAAGTCAGAATGCTGTGAGTCAATGAAGGGCCCAGGAGTGGCTTGCTTAGTTCTATTCGAAATTTCGATGTCAAAGATTGTAAGGTCCGCGAATAAATTCAAGGTAGGGTGCCACTCGATCTGTTTTCGTCGTAAATGTAATAATAACGGCATGCCGTTATGCAAAATGGCATGATCACAAAAATAGCGGCTTGGCGCTATTCGCAAAGAGATCAAGTGAGAGGAAAATGAAATGATTTGAGAGAGGAGAGCAAGAAAAATGGTGCTTAAGATTTTGGAGTTGGTTTTTTGTTTTTCGAGGAGTTGAGAGGGGTACTTTGACAAGTAAACAACAACGGTCGAAATCAAGAAAGCAAGAGGATTTTGATAGATTTTTTTTGAGTGGGACTGAAAAATTGCGAGAGTTGTTGCTATGATAGTTTTTTGGACAAGTGTAGTGCAAAATGAAAAGTTAAATAAATTAATTTAATTTAAAAAGAAATTCCATCCCCGTCCCTCCAAACAAGCCCAAAAGGAAACTTTATTAAAAAAAGGGTTGCCAAAGTAGGAGTTTATGGCGCTGGTGGTGGTTGAATAATTGAAGGTGAAAAAATGTAAAATGCGCCTATACTGATTCAAAACTATGCACAAAAAGAGAGGCAAAAACAAAAGGAGTTAAAAGGAACAGAAAAAAATAAAAAAGGAAAACTAAACTCTACGGTAGCCATTTAAATGACTCTAAAAGATGAATAGAAATATTTTGTACATTATTCCTCGGAATTTTTAATCGAACATTATTACGAGTTTGTTGTCTAATTGTATAATTTCCTTATAAGGAATAATTTATAACAGCAAAAAAGAAATCATCTAGTAAAAAAAATGTATTTGGCAAAAGTGAAAGAAAAGTAAAGAAGTAGAAAGTTGAAGAACAAATAAACTAATGTACCAAAAGAAAAAGCAATCCGTTAACAATAACAAATCTCTAGTTGAAAAGTAAAAAAAAAAAACATATGCGGTTATGTTAATAACTATTAAGTTATTTAAGTGCTAAATTGTATTTATTTATTTTCTTGTGTTTTGATGACCATTTAAAAGTTTAAGTTTTCGTTTTTTTTCTTATGTACAATTTTAAACTGGGATTATAACTACATTGAAACTATCCCTAAATCCTTAAATAAAGTGGTTATTAAAGCCTTTTAATAAAGAAAAAAAATTATTCATTATTCAAAATATCCTGGTAAAAGGGCAAGTAGCTAAGATACTGTTAATGACTTAAAAGGTTGTATTGTGTGGAGATTGTCTGCTTTGAGGTCGTGCAGTTCTGGCTTGTCCTCGATTGAATCCCAACAGCATTGGAAGGAAAAAATCGGATAATTATACATTTGCGGCTATTCCCAGGGAGCTAAATGGTCAAAGGAGTAAGTTCATAAGCACCCCTTCACTACTTGCAAAAATCATCAAGCTGTCTCCAAGTCAAAAGCTGCTAACAAAAGTCAGGCATTACGGTAGTTAATTAGAATGCCTTTCTACCAAAAAAAATCTCTTGTGTATATTTGTGCAAAGGTTTAGAAAAATTTGCTCTTGTATCGTAACATATGAGAATTGACTTTAAATATTTTAAAACATGTAAGTTAAATGAAATGAGTTAAAGAAAAATAAATAATTAAGTAGCATACACTGCCGCTGAGGAGGAGTATGGAAGGGTGGACGTATGAGTGGAGATAGGAGGACTGGGGACGGATACCGACGAACGAAGGCGGGACCCACGAACGACGGACCCTGCAGACGGATTTACTCAGCACAACTAAAAGGCCGATTGAATACATTTAATTCTTTTTTAATTTTGTATGCGCTACCGTCTACAAGTTCGGCCACATTACGAACAATGGCGTCAACGTGGGGCCGTTCTGACATTACAAAGCAATTATATTTATTTTATAAATCTCTTATATTACAATGGCGCCAATCGGAAAGCAACCTAGCGTGGAAATTATTTTAATTCATCACATAAGTTGGTCGCATAAATGGTGCCCAACGAAGGTCGGACTATTTAAATTTAGTTTTGATGTAGGTTGGTCGCAACAATGACGCCCAACGAAAAACGGACTACAAGGAAACTTTTGTGACGAGTTTAAGGCAAAAATTCTCTTGCGATGTATTTTTATGTTTTCTTCGATTAATAAGTTGGTCACCCATGACAATGCGCCCAACGAAAACCGAACTGGATAAATAATTCTTTTACTTTTAATTTCACACAAAGTTGGCCGCCGTGACATTACAAATGGCGCCCAACGGAAACATTACACCCTCATATTTTTATTATTTCAATTTAACTTTGATACGCAGCAAACATCACCCAACAAAAATTTAAACTCAAATGTAATATTATTTTAATTTTAATTTTGATACGTTGATCGCGCGTGATGACATTACAAAACGGCGCCCAATGTAATTCAAACCACTGTAAACTCAATTTAATTTTAAGTTTCAATTTATTTTGGTAAGTTGGTTGCATAACCAACGGCGCCAAACGGAAATCGGTGTAGAAGTATTTTTATTTTCCTTTGTGCTGTAGTCTAGTGTGTCTCCTTTTTGAAAGGAAAAAAAGGGGGTTCGCCAAACTTTTGTTGCAGGTCTGTCGCCGAGGCGCGGATCTAATGGGCACGGCAGCAATAAAAGGGGGGGAAACGGGTGTTAGGGCCGGCGGGGGTACCTAACATCGTGGCGTACCCGGTGTTAGAAAAGAAGTCTCCGGGCCGTTAACACTACGGGTAAGGGTGCTCATTACTCGAGATACGGTACCCTGCGAGTTTTAGGGGTAGCTTGGTGCTCTAATGATGAGTACCTTGTGAAAATGGTAGTTCCTGAATGGTACGCCCACCAACTCGTGCAAGTAAAAAACGTTGGGGTCCGGCCGTTCAGGTGGAGATACGTCTGTTGTGTTGAGATGAAAAGATGAACAGGAGTTGTCGAAACTCAAGCGTGACACCCACATCATGTTCCGCTACAGTGGAACAAAATTTGTTTAAAAAAAAAAATAATAATAATAATACTAATAAAAGAAATTGTTACATATCTGTACACTTCATGAGAAGATTTTTTTTTATATTTTATAAATATTATTAATATATTTATTTTACCAAAAAAAAAAAAATTGCTACTGTGAGGACGTTTCCGTTCCTTTTTTTAAAGGCTGGGGCAGCTGAGCGGCCCAGGGTAATGGAAACGCACAAAAAATTTGTATTTTGTATTTCTATTTCTCTTGTTACACTTTCCTTTCAAACGCGTCTCTGCAAATCTACGACCAAAACTGAACTTCATTAGTCGATGACTCAAACTCAACTAACGTGACCTATCCTTAACCTATGCTTATCTGGCCTATTCTATTCTTATCCTATCTTAATCTATTCCTATTCTATCTTAATCTATTTCTATTCCTATCCTATGTCTATCCTATTCTTATACTACGCTTATCCTACTCTTATCCTATCTTATTCTCTAGAACTCCTCCCTCCCCAGCCAGAGACGGAGAGTCTTTGAAGCCAAAAAGAGGGCGACTTTGGGTCCTCACACTACAAATCCCTACACTTCATGTGAAGATTTTTTTTAATATTTTATAAATTTTATTAATGTTGTAACGGCCGCGAACAAACTTTGGGTAGGGTGTCTGTCGGTCTGTATCAACCGCAAGCGGCGCAATAACGGCATGCCGTTAGACAAAATCATGCGATTTTGTGGTACCGC